TTTGTATTGATATTATCCACAATAGGCCCTTTTCCGACCTTCAAAAGCATAATTAATTGAAATGATTCACCTGTACAAGTATCACCTGAGTTTAGTATGTAACCTAGTTTCACTCTGTCAGGTACAATAAACTAGCTCAGGAGTGGACAACAAAGTATGCAATGCTTTAGGGTAAGGCCAAGAGGCAGTGCTGCATCTTGGCTAGTGCTGTGGGATTGGTTGGTTGCGATGCTCTGGTCTCACTGGCTTAACCAGAAGCTTGGCTCTCTGCTATAAAAGTATATGACTGCAGTGTGGGATTTGAGCGTTAAACTAATCTCTGGCTGTCTGTACTTAACAGAGTGCCATATTGGCCATACTCAGCTGCAGATGGAGTCTGTTGCAGTAAATAAGTTGACTAATTTCTGCCAACCCACAGTTGTGGGTTAGAAAGTCTTCTGTTGCATGAAAAATACAAGTAAGCTATCAGATACGGCAGCTACAGAGATTAAGGTCTTTTCACGCCCAACATCTGAGACCACATAACATTTTTACATTATGGCTGACAACTTTCAAACGCATACCATATGTTTTTATATTTCATTCCCTTCAGTATGATTCAAAAAAATCCACTTGTTGAATCACTTTGAGATTGGTGATGAATTTTAAATGGGTTGCCTTTATTCACTTTTTTTTATTGTTGCATGTTAAAGCAGCTGTCAGCAGGAACCATTCTGGGGGGAAAAAAGTTTTCAGTGATGCATTTGAGGGACACACCAACATTTGGCTGCCAGAAAGAACCACTTTCATGAGCTATGATGTCTGAAACTGAAGCCTAGCAGACAAACAATAAGGATAATACAAGTGAGGCTTCTTGTATGAAAAGATTGCTATTAGCAGATTATAAATATGCAGGTGTTGACACACCGAATGTCGTGTTTCCAACATCCTGTGCAGGCAGCTGCATCAAAGTGCATTGATGCAACGTTTAAAAAAAAAAAAAAGAAAAAGAAAGAAAGGTCAACAAATCATTTACTGTGCCATTTTTGTCTCCAATGAGTTACAACACAGTAAACGGACACCAGTGGCTTACTATAAATAAATCGGTCTAAACATGTATGGGGGGGGACAGAAAATACTCCTTGTTTTTTGGCATTAATTTGGTGCCTAAATGATGCTATCGCTAACATTTAGCCAAACCCTCAAATCTGGAAATCTTAGTGCGTTTCCAATGCTTATAATAATTGACTGACATCATACTCGTCATTAGGGTTGCAACTATTGAGTATTTTTATTAACAATTGACCTGCAGGCCATTTTCTTGATTAATCATTTGGTCAGTGAGAAATGCCCATCACATGTTTCCAGAGGCCTTGTCGAATGTTAAATGTGTTTTGGTTGTTTTTTTTTTTTTTTGTTTTTTTTTTCCTCAACTGTCCAAAAATCAGTTTATATTAACGTACAACTGAGAAAACCAGCAAATTGGAGGAAATCCTCGGCAGATTTGCTTAAAAGTTGATTAAATGATTATCAAAATAACTACAGGTTAACTTTGTTGATCAGCCAATTAATTAATCAACTAATCTTTGCCGCCCTACCCAACCCTATTAATTGAAAATGCATATTTTGATATGTTTGGTATTTAACATTAATCAAGAGTCAAATCAATATAGTATTTGCTATTGAAATGCAAAAACATTTAAACATTTTTCTAATTATTTTCATAATTATTGTTTATTGTAACTGAGATAGCGGCCGTCGGCTGACCCAAATTTAAATCACTTTAGAAGCAGAATTTTCTGTGCATGTAAACACAGCCACTAACTCCAGCATGAAACTGTTTTGTTCTTTTTTTTTAAAAGGGGGAAAAAGTTGCCTCACTTGTCATGTTGGCATGTGAAGATGACATGTCAAAAATACTTTTTTCACGTTAAGAAGTTTAGTTTGTACAAAGTATATTTGTGCATATACTGACTTGTTTTGTTAAGATACTAACTTTGCTTGCAATCTGCTGAAGTGCATGTACTTAAATCCTAAATAAAAGTGCAGCTTATTGTTGTAAAATATAAGTTATCTTGACTTTTTTATGCCAAAAATGTGACTTGTTTGATCAGTGATCAAACTAAAGTGCTAAAGTTATTTTCTCTCTCTTTGCAGATACACCAAAACGGCGAAAGAATGGACAAACAAATACGCAATGTGATGGCATCGTTTGGGAAAACTGGTGGAAAATGTCATAGCTGGTTAAAAAAAAAAATCCGGGATTCTTTTTTTTTTCCTTCACTTTTCTTTTGTGTTTTTTTTGGTTAATCATAGCATTTTTACCCCCCTCCTTTTTCCACCTGCGCGCTCATAAGAAGATAGTGTTTTCGCTCTAGGACATGTGCCAGTTTCTGTGAAGTTTCTACTCCCATTTTGTTTGGAGTTAAAAAAAAAAACAACAAAAAAAACCCACTGCTTGAGCATGCACCAGTTAAGAGTTTTTTTTACCCAAAATTGGTGAAGTTACTCTACACACACTTAGTAGAATCTGATGCGACTGGTGTCCTGACACTGAACACTTTATCAACCCCATGATGATCCAGTTGGTCCAACTGGATGGATCCTGTGTGGTTGATTAATTAACTGGATTTTTCAGAGCACTTGTAGAGGAGCCTGTCTTTTGCCAAACATCTGAATTCGGATTTTTAAAGTTTAAAATTTGGGGAGGGGGGGTTTATCTGAAAGATTTGGGAAACTGGTTAGTGGCTCCTGTATCTCCTGGACTGGTGTGATGTCTTCTGATCATTAGTATAGTAATCTATTACCTGAGGAAAGACTTGTATCTTATTCCACTATCAAAGTGTGTGTACAGAGAAGCACAGCAGTATATATCAACGTTAAGGAAACAAAATATAAGAACTTCAATGTTGTATTTTATGCATGTTAATAAAGGTAGGCTATTATATCTGGTATGTTTCTACAAATTAAGTGGCTTGTAAGGCTGGAAGTTGGAGGAAAAAAAAAAAATTGATCCCCTCAAAGGCTTTCTACTTTTTTTTTTTTTTCTTTTTCTTTTTTTTGTTATTTAGAAGCCAGTAGATGAGCTGTTAGTTTTATGCCCACTCAAACACTGTCTTCTTGTAGCCCTAAAATATTGATACAAAGCTAATGGTTGATAATCAACTTGTGGCTCTGTTTCTTTTTACTTTTCCCTTCAATAAAGTTACTTAAACCATAAAACAAATCAGGGTGGTGCTTTTTTGTTTTTCATTTAATGTGAACGTGTCAACATTTTGTTGAATACACAAGATCCATTGTTGGCAGTTTAAGGCTGATTTGTGTGTTTTTTAAATGTCTAAGTCACAACAAAATCGTGTAGAGTTTAAATGCCTGTATTCACCCTTTCATAAACTTCTTGTGCCTTTTAAGCAAAGGGGAAGATTTATCAGCTGTCTTATTTAGTGAAGCCTTGAATGTATTGGTGAATTGTTTAAACTTAGAGAAATGTAAAATTTCCTTGGATGTCAAGGCAAGTTTGAATATTTTTATTTGCTCTTATGGATAACTAGACTTGACAAATAAAATGTATAGTTTCAGTCTTCATGCAAAAAATGACATGTCTCACTGAATCTCATTTGAGTAGTTAAAAATTGACCTGTAGATGAGCTGAAGCTGCATCTGGATTAAGTCAGTTGAAATCAAGGTATAATTTCACCACTATGAAACACCTCTAATGTGATGGCTCACAACTTTGTTCTTTATGATAAGTGGTACTGATAGTTTTTACTTAATCACAGAAGTTTTATTCTAAATATAGATAATACATTTTATATATTTACATAATTGATACATTAAAACATTTTTTCCCATGTTAATTAAATATGGTGTACATTAGTCTGCTTTTTAAGTTTTCCAAAATGTTCAATATTATCAGAACAGACTATAAAATGTCTGTTCAATTGTAGAAAATACTGTGTGTGTGTGTGTATATATATATATATATATATATAATGTGTATGCAAACTTGAACATCTACTGCAGTAAAATACAACATAGATTAATGCAGCAGTAATATTAATCAAAAGACCAGTGGTGGAAAAAGTATTCAGATCTTTTAAGTAAAACTAGCAATACCACAGTGCAGAAATACTCCTTTTGCAAGTCAAGATTCTTGTATTCTTAACTAAAGTACAATAGTACAAGCATTTATATATACTTAAAGTACCAAAAGCATAAATACTCATTGGTATTAATACTTTTATGTACATAAAGGATATAAATACTCCTTCCACTACTGTGTGTGTATGTGTGTGTGTGTGTAATGATTTTTCTTAAAGTTCAAACTAATGCATTCATGTGTAACCACCATTAATGTTGCAGCTGGTAAAGGTGAAACTCATTTTAATTAATTGATATGCTGCCAGAAAGTTGAATTCATTAAAATAAAAGTTATTTATTTAGTTGATATATTTTGTAGTAATTAATTGTAGTAATTAATTAGTAATTGTAGTAATTAAATTAAATTATTTGATTATTTGATTCTGCAAAGTAATTGTACTTCAGTACAGTATTTGAATAAATGTAGGCTAATTAGTTACAAAACACCACTGCCAAAAAATAATGAATAGTCTGCTTTTATTTTTGATACTTAGTGATAATACTTAATATAAAAAACTTTTACTTGTAGTAGTGTTGTATTAGCACTTTTACATAAAGGATCTGAATACTTTTTCCACTACTGGGTGTGACATGAGCTTTTAATGTTTAGATTCATGTGTAAGCATAATTAATGTTGCAGCTAATTTTAATTATAATGCATTATGCTACCAGGTAGCTATGGTAGTCGTGAGGTATTAGTTTTTTTACTTAAACAAATTATAAGAATACTTCTTTCACTACTCGGTGTGATTTTCTTTTAAAGTTTTAAAGTTGAGACAAATCCCCAACAAAAACATGTCCTAAAAAGTTAAACGTTTGTCTTGTCTTGTCCCTCGTGCAGCAACCCCGATCAGCTGACTGCAACGTTGTTTGTCACATGACAAACAAGGAAGTGCTCGTTTAGTAAACACAACAAAACACAGATAGTAGGCGTTTAAAGAGTATTCCCGTTACCTACCTGCAACAAACTATGACTCCGTGTGGAAACTTTCTTATGTGTGTTTCTGGTGTTTTGTTGAGTTTGCATTTGGGAGTTTTATCCGGTTTTTCTTCAGTAACTGGGCAGCAACAAACTCTGAGTCTGGACGGCAAATGGAGCCTTTCCAACTCCAATGGTTCAGTGTCTCTGCCTGCAGAGGTGCCTGGATGTGTTCATTCAGCTCTGCAGCAACAGGGATACATACAGGTGGGTAAATTAATGACTTACCTGAACATCACTGCATCATGATGTTTGAAATGTGTATTCCCTTTATTTTACTATGTTGAAGGTACAGCAGTCATATCTCTATGTCAGTGGTGGTAAGAAACTAAATACAATTTTGGAGTACTTTGTACTATGCTTGAATGAAATAGTTTATACTTCTCCACTACATTTAATAGGGAAATATTGTACTTTGTACTTCTTTACTGCTTTTACAACTATAGTTATCTACTTTTCAGATTAAGATTTGCATAAAAAACAACGGCATAACATTGGTTTATAAAACACAATGTATTGTTTTAGATTGAACTAGTAGTTTCCTTTTGGTTTGTGACCATGTGTTGTTAGCACTTCCACTTAACGGACATTTCCCCTCAAATGACTGTTCGATTATCTAAAGGTTAAATCATCCAACCTTTGTGATTAGAGTAAAGTTCAAAAACTGAAAACCAATTTGTGAATCAGTGTTGTGTTTCTTTTCTTTCCCATTAGTCATCTCATGACCCCTCAGATTTATCTGGTGACACTTTGGAGGGGTCCAATTCCTAGGTTGGGAGCCACTTACCTAAACTAGCTAACTGTATATAAAGTAGTTGAAACTACTAAAAATATAGTAAAATATCACATACAGCCAGGGGACATTTTTACTTTGGAACAAGTACTTTTGCTTTTGATACTTGATACTAAGTATATTGATCAAATAATATTCATGTACCTACTTAATTAGGATTTTGAATTCAGACTTAAACCTGGAGTATTTTTTTACATTGTTGTATAGGTACTTTTAATCGAGTAAAATATCTTTATACATATTCCACCATTAGCAGTAAGTATTTTGACTCAATAAAGTAAATCTCAGCCTCCTGTTAGAGCAAAGTTAGAGACCTGATGCTGGTTTTTAAGTACTATTTTGAGGTACTTTACTTGAATATTTACATTTTATATTACTGTATACTTCTACTATATACTATAATATATAATGCTGTTTACATGTTAACGCATCAGAACTAATAATCTAATAATAACAATAACAATCTTAAATAAGCCGTTCTGCTGTCTAATGAGTACTTTTAATTTTTATACTTTCAAAACTTATGCACTACTTCAATTAAAATATGAATGTAGGACTTTGATTTGTAATGCAGGATATCAACTTTGTGGTATCGATATCTTAAGGAACATATCTCAATACTTCTAAAAATTGGTTTGTTCAGTAATGAGTGGAAAAGTCCTTAACTTTTCCGCTCTGCTGTCAGGCAACATTTAGTTTTTGGTTAATTGTTCTCTTGCTTGTGATATAATGTCTTAATATATGAAGCTAATACAGGTAGAGAGAAAAGAAAGAAACCCTGACATGTAACTGGCCTCACTGGCTTGAAATGTTCACATATAACATACATGAGAACATCTATCAAAGACTTTTTGTTTTTTGCAAGGAACTTTTGTGTCTGGTGACAATGAGGAATTTATCTTTGTATGAGGTTTTCAGACTTCTTTTGTACAGATCGTACAAAGGAGGCTTTTATTTTTATTTAACAGACATTTGTTGGATGTTTTATCAGGGGGATCCCACTATCCCAGTTCTTTTGACTGTCTATTTAAATGGGATTACTTTTAGGCCAAAAATGATTAAGTATTTCCACTATAATTTTATTATATTAAACTGTACAGGAAAAACTAAAATAATGTTTAAATATTAGAGGCTTTTTATTGGTGTGGTGCAGACCTAAAACTTATGACTTTGGTATTTCCTAAATCCTGGCTATAACCCTTTTATTTGAAAATGTGAGCGTGTGTATGAGCAGGAGGTTTTTACACCCATTAACGTAAAGAGGAATGAAATAAAATTTAAACAAGAATGCATTCCTGCCAGTTGAATCCTTTACTTTTCTTTCAGGATCCATATTTCAGGTTCAATGATGTTTCTTATCGGTGGGTTGCCTTTGACAACTGGACTTACACCACCACATTTACTGTGCCTGCCCAGCTCTGGTCAGTTTAATGATTTCTATCTTTTTTTTATAGCATTGTATTCTTTTCCTGACTCATCTCCTCTGCATTAACAGGGCCAAACGGAAGGTGCTGCTTGTCTTTGACGGTGTTGACACTGTAGCGTCGATTTGGCTCAATGGAATCCTTATTGGAAAGACAGACAACATGTTTCAGAGATATGTGTGTCCCCTAGAACATGAGCAGTTCACTTGTTCTTCTTCTACATTAATGCATCATTTGTTTACTATCTGTTCTTGGTGTGTAGGACTTCCCAGTTAGAGACTTGCTGAAGGACGGGGATAATGTGCTGAAAGTTAGCTTGTTGTCTCCAGTTCTTTATGCATTGGAGCGAAGGAAAGCTCACTCGGCCTACAGAGTTCCTCCCGAATGTCCTCCAGATGTCCAGAAGGGGGAATGTCATGTCAATTTCATCAGAAAAGTAAGTGTGTCCTACCATGTTTTACCGCTCCTCTTAAAGCAAAAGAGTCTGTGTCAGAACAGAAACATTTTTATACACCAGATCCCAGTCTTTTCTGGTGACATTAGTAATACTGGATTGATTTGAAATGTGACTTTATGGTGAATTTAGAGTCAAAGAGATTTATGTTTGAGAAATAAATGTTACCGCACCTGGTTAGGATGTTGGAATAATCCAGTCAGTAAGTCATCATACTGAATGGATGGATCTTGATAGATAATTTACATTTTAATAATTTAAAGTTTAACATTTTCAGAGCATGAAAAAATCTTGTAGGCAAAATGTGTCTTATTTTTTTGGACTTCCGCCTTTCACTTTAATAATGATTTCATTTTAATACAACCGTTTCTTCTTGAAAATCAGATTCTTTCATTGTGCAGAATTTTTATTCTTATACCTTCACTAAGCACTGACCTTAATCTCACCCCAGCTAACACTTTCTACCTTATTTTCTGATGTTTACACATTTTAATAAATGAAGTAAACATGCAGAACAAAGTCTTTCACTCTTAAGAGCACTTACAATATCATTCTGTACAGCTAAAATTCAATCTCTATGTTTTGGTGAAGGAACAAAGCTCTTTCAGTTGGGATTGGGGGCCTTCGTTCCCAACGATGGGACTGTGGAAGGGAGTTCACCTAGAGGCGTTTGATGCCCTGCAGCTCATCCAGGTCTCCACAGTTCCTCTATACAGTACGTCCCATCTCATCTTTATCACCAGCCATTTGTTTGTTAAAAGTATTTTTTAAAAATTGAATACTTTTAAACATGAACAGAATTTTAAGCAGCTGATCATCTGATAGAAAGTGTTAAGTGTAATTTTTTATCTGCCTATAAGAGCAGTAGCTAAACAAAATTGTGTTGAAATTATATAAAATGTAAAAAAGTACTGCATTATACAGGGTGGTGTTTCTGTTAGCCTCTCCTCATTGATATACGTATGTGGAATAATGAAATGTTTTTTTCAGACTTTTAATTTAAAGTATATAATATGTTTGTGTAGATTTCAGCCTCTCTCAGTGGAGAGTCCAGGTGGAACTTCTTGTTGATGCAGTTCAGACAACAAATGGCCAAATTACATTCTCCATACCCGAGCTGGACTCAAAGCTGACCTACCAGACACAGTTTCTCCCAGGAAAGACCAAACACAACTTCACCTTACACGTCAACACGGTATTCGATACTGTCTGGTCAAACAGTTTGACCAAACTGTGTGAAAATTAGATTTTTAAATTGTGTTTATATGTGTGTTGTGAACTTGCAACAGCAACGACTCTCCTCAGTAGTTCTGAACTATGTTGATTAGTAAAATATTAAAATCAGTTTCTAACCGCTTGTGAGGAAGTTTTGAGATCTTTTTCTTATTCTTCCAGAGTAACCATGTGAAGCTGTGGTGGCCCAACGGACACGGTGACCAACCCTTTTACCATCTCACTGTCAGAGGCTTTCAAAATGGATTTTTAATCCTGAATACAGAATCTAAGGTCAGAGTTGGCTGCCTGTTAACACTTACATCCTCCTCATATTATTATTATATTTTATTTAGCTGTATGTATTTATCAATGAAACTGCACATAAATTAGCTTACATTCCTAGTATGCTGACATAAAAAGCTCAACAAATCTCCAAGTTGACAGCCAATAGAAAATTACATTATACTCATGATGCATAGAAAGTAATGATTAAGTATGATTTATAAAATTAGTTTTTACCATAGTGATTTTAAAAATCATTTATAAATGTCTTAAGAACAGAGATCACAAGGTGGGGCTGCAACAGTGAAACAGAGAGGAGTATCATTCATGTTCCAGCCACTGTATTTAAAATGCTGGTGTTGTTTTGCACATTTCTCCACCAACATGATGTATTTGTTTGGTAAATTACGAGGTTGCACATGACACAACACACAAAAAGTTAAAAACATCCGAGGATGAAAACACAGTCTACCTTTGATCGTCTTGTCCAAGATGATTTCTAGACCGGTTTAGCACTCAAAGTACAAGTCATACTGCGTTATAAATACAGTCTAAATTATAATGCACAGACACCTTAGCAAACACCATATGTATAAAGAGCCAATAAAGAAGCAGATTTGTTTTAATAAATTGAAGTTATCCATTTAAGAATCCAAACTTAGTTTACTAACATGTTTCTAGATGCTGACCTCTTGGAGTTTAAATTTTCATGCCCATTGCTCTTTATTGAAATCGCCTAGCACTGTTGAGTGTCGTCACATGTGCCACAGTCATAGATGTCAGTGTTTTTTTGTATGTTTCACTGTTGAAAATGTCTCCTGCAGGTGTATTTTCGCACAGTAGAACTTGTCCAGGAGCCAGTTGTCGGGTCTCCAGGCTTAAGCTTTTATTTCCGCATCAATGGGAAACCAATTTTCCTCAAAGGCTCCAACTGGATCCCAGCCCACTCCTTCCAGGACCAAGTCTCCCCTGCTGTGTGAGTTTAGTTTGAAAAGCTGCTTTTGAAATTGTTGCACTAGAGTCCTGCCTGGTGAGTGGAATACTGATCACTAATTATGATATCTCTCAGAATATAAGAGAAATCAGAGTTTGTTTAAGTTATGAATACATTAATTCTGAAACTACCTGCTTTCTGTTTGCACTGCAGCTTAAGGAACTTGTTGCAGTCAGCTGTGGATGTGAGCATGAACGCCCTCAGGGTCTGGGGAGGAGGAGTGTATGAACAGGATCTTTTCTACAGCATGTGTGATGAGATGGGAATCATGGTAACGACTGTCAACCCTTTAGTTATCAATATAATTCTACCACCACAAATTAAATAACAATATCATAATGTAGCCAGATCTCTCAATGAGACGTATAATTTCTTAATCTTTGTGCTGATGCCAAAAAACCCTCAAATCATTCAGTCACATTTACTTTTTGACATTAGTTATAAATAGGAGACCATCATCAGCATATAAAGAAATCGAAGGCATGTGAAGGGTGGTAGGCCTGAAACAACATCCTTTTTGCATCAGGAAGCACTGGGGTTTATGGGAAATGTGGTCTTAACGCCAACAGTCAACTAAAAAGGTTACAGGTCTTCTGATTCAGTGTCATTTGGTTTTTTCATTAATTGATAAATCCCATGTTTTAGCCTGTAACATCTAATTTTATCTGATTATTCTGTATAGCAGATGACATAACTCAAATACACTGGACATCTGCTTCAGTGAAACAAAATGTCAGTGTTATTGCATTTGTTAAAGTTGCCTCTGAATGGGGGTGGGGAGGGTGGAGGAGCTGTATATGCACTCAACATAACATACATTTTGATTAAAAAAAACAAAACTTTTGCACTTCTTTATATTTGTGGAACCTATTTGGCTCATCTGAAACAGAATAGGTCACCTAAAAAAAAGGAAAGCTCTGAACTATGTTTTCTGCCAATGCTGCCTGCAGTCGATCCATGTTTACTATGTGTATTGTGTAATGGGCTTATAGGCTTTGTACTATTGGAAGTCCTTGTGTTCTTGTACAGTACTTGTTTGTACAGACTTAGGTGTGACAGATATTTAAACAGACGGATAAAGCATTGTATTGTCTGGATTAGGGATAAATCAAGAGAAAAGTAAATTCCCCCCTTAATATCATAAATGAAGAAATGTGGGACAGGTTACCTGATAATTGTGTATGATTTTGATTGTGTTACGCCACTATGACTCATGAACATATTGTAGAACAGATGGATGCTCAAAGTGTCATACAGTACGTGTCTTTACTAGGTTTGGCAGGACTTCATGTTTGCCTGTGCCATGTATCCCGCTGAGAACGACTTCATACAGACTGTAAGAGAAGAGGTCATCCAACAGGTAAGCAGTGATTTTATTTTATTTTAGAAGATGTCATGTCTGGAAATCTGTGGAAAGATTAAGAAAAGTGGTACCTCACACTCAGTGTTTCTATCCAAAATATTGTCACAAACTGGCTCGCGTCCACGCAAGGTACTTAATTAAAACAAGTATAATTTATTAGACTAAAATAAACAGAAGTACAAAAGAAGATGCCACAGCATGGATGTAACCTGCTAGAAGGGAGAGAGCAAACTGAAAACATGGGCCTGCTTTTATAGCCCATGACCCCAGGTGAGCGCAATCAGCTTACGACCCTCCCAATTCAGCCAATTACCTGCTGAGATTGGCAGGACAACCTCCAAACAGTGGGAAGGGTGTCACAGTATGTTAACACATTTTTAGATGGGAGTCAGTTTTTATGTCATCCTATCATGATGACATCCACTGTGACTGTCTCTTCACTGACTGTAAAACTGTAAGAATAATTAAAAAATGTCTACAAAAATAATAAGAGTTGCAGCATTTTAGGTCAATTTCAGTTTCCCCAGAGTTGTTATTGCATGCCTGTACTGACAGTAAATGTACTCATTTGGTTATCAGGTTCAACGCCTCAAGTCTCATCCTTCCATAATTATTTGGAGTGGGAACAATGAAAACGAAGCTGCTCTGGCGACAGACTGGTTCGGCATCCCAGATTCCCAGAGGCCCACATACCTGAAAGACTATGTGACGCTGTATGTGAACAACATAAGGGCGATAGTTCAAGAGGTGAGTTAAATCATTTGTAAAGAAAAGTTGTCAGGATTTATGTTTTAAATGGTTACAGATTACATGGTTGAAAGTGGAATATGAAGAATGATGATTTATTGTTTGATAAATGGTATTAAAAGCCTGTAGAAAGAAAATGCTTTAAAAGCTCACGTCTCTTATCTCCTTTAGGAGGACCAGAGTCGCCCGTTCCTTGTCTCCAGTCCGACAAACGGGGCTGAATCTGAACAGGAAGGATGGGTGGCAACAAACCCCTACGACCCTCACTACGGGGACACACATTTCTACAGCTACATCCTGGACTGTTGGGACTGGCGGACTTTCCCTCGAACGCGTTTTGCCTCTGAATACGGCTTCCAGTCCTGGCCTTCCTTCTCCACTCTCCAGCCGGTTACTGACTACACCTTCCATATGTGCTTTGTTTCTCTTTAAAAAAAATCTTCTTAAATATTACCTTGAGAGAATTCCAGACATGCTAAGATCCAGGTCTGTTTGTTGCTAATTCTTTATTTTCTTTTTAACTAATTAAGAAATAAAGATGCCACCATAGTCAAATTTCCTTGACTGCATTGCTTTGAGAAACACCTAATGGATTACTTAAATCTATTTTTTTCAAGTAAAAGGCAAAGATCAATTTTGATGACTCCGAGTATTACGGCTCCTAATATTGATGATAATAATCATTGGTGATAGTGTCATCCCACAATGTGACATAGATTCCTGATAGATAATTAAAGAAAACAATGCATAATGAACAGTTATAAAAGGGAATAACAAAACAGGAAGAGCTAAAATAAAATCAAAGAAAGCTAGATCAGATAAAACTGACGGAACAATTTAGAAGTTATTAAATAAGGATGGTGAAATAATTACAAAAAGACGGGCTTTGAAAAAATATATTGAAACGGTAGTTAAGAGGTAGATGCTGAATTTTTCCAATCACACTTGCACAACCCAGTAGAACCCTTTGTTTTTGTTGTTTATTCAGGTGGTGTAAAGTGTACATGTGTTTTGTGATGTTTCAGGTTTCCATAAAAGAAGACTGGAGCTACAACAGTAATTTCACTTCCCATCGCCAACACCATGAGAGTGGCAACCAGCAGATGTTACTGCAGGCTGCTTTACACTTCAACCTGCCCAACTCTACAGACCCCTTGAAAAGATTTACAGATACTCTCTACATCACTCAGGTAAACTCCCCTCACCTCATGTCTGATAGTTTAAAAGCGGCATGGTGCAGGTTTGTGCACAAGTACAGTAGCTTCAGATGGTATTTAGAGTTAAGTGAAGTAACATGTAGCCCATTTATGTTTACCAGCCTGTGACTTAAGGAAATGGTGAGTTTTCAGTTCCCTATGCATGGAGTGTCACTCACTCCTGTCAAGCAGAGGTATTTGCATTTTGCTATTAAATTATTCAAAACATTTATTTTTAGTATCAACTCATCCCTGTGGGTTTTATATCCAGCTGTTAAAAAGTTCTCGTTTCTTCTTTGTGCTCCGACATACCTTTTTTCACAGAAAACATTTTCTCACAGTAGGAAAAGCACAAGTGTTTAATTATCAAATTAATGATGGCTAAATTCCATTTAGCTGTCATGTTTTATTGGGACACTTGAATAGAACAGAGTCATTGTTAATGACTATTAGTAACACCTGTGATTTTCCAATATGACAAGTCAAAATATCTGCTGTAGCTAAATAGACAAAATCACCATAGGATCTTCTCAGACCACTCCTGCAGCAGCGGCCACTTCTCTAGGCTCAGTGTAATCCAGTCATATTTTTGATCAAATATATCTCAGTACACACCTTTTATCAGCAGCTAACTGCTAAATTACCAACTTTTAGAAGCCTTCTATAAAGCTTGTAGAAAGTATTTGATTTGACTTATAGATTTTCTTATTATTACTTAAATCATGGCTTCATCTACAGAGTAAATGCTGAGTTTTTATTAAAGCACGTCTTCAGTATTTTGATTTATTGTTGTTTGGTTGTCTTTTTTTAAATACAGACTAAATCATTTGAGGCTATTAAAAAGTCCTCTGTGTAAAACATGTTGGGAACCTTTCCTGTAAACCATCCAACTGATTATTTAAACACTGTAGAAATCAGAATCAGCTTTATTTGCCAGGTATGTGTACACATACGAGGAATTTGACTGGATTGTACAATGCTCATGATATGCTTACTTATACAATAACACAATAATACAGTAATAAAATCAAACAGGCTACAGTATAGAGAACACATATATACACACTATAACCAAAAACAAAATAGACAGACTGAGATAATAGTGCAATGAGCAGAGTGCAAAGGATTCAGGAGTAAATTATAATTACCATTATTGTTTTTGTTATTATTATGTACATGTCGGAGGTGGATGTGATACACAGGTGCACATACACATATATGCATACATGTACACAGTGTAATGGAGCACAGTGCAAAGAATGCTGGAATAAATAAGTATTATGTGCAGGTGTTATGTACTTGAGGTAGGTGGATTTGGTATACAATATGAAAATATAACAATGAACAGTATGAAGAGCTCTGAAATAGAGAATGATGAATAGATGATAAGTGGTAGCCAGTAAACAGGTGGCTGATTAGAGGCACAGTTACTGGGTTATTGCACAGGAATTGTTCCTGACACTGTCAGAGTCAGCTGTTTATCAGAGTGATGACTGAAGAAACTGTTCCTGAGTCTGTTTTGACGTCCAGTGCTCTGTAGCACCTACCAGAGGGGAGGAGTTGGAACAGGTTGTGTCTGGGGTGAGATGGATCTGCAGTGATGTTTCCTGCCAGTTTTCCACAAATGATGATATTTCATCTCCAGGTCATGCAGGCTCAGTGTGTGAAGACTCAGACAGAGTTTTATCGGCGAAGTCAGAGTGAGATCATTGAGGGCAAAGGTCTCACTATGGGCGCTCTCTACTGGCAGCTCAATGATATTTGGCAGGCGCCTTCCTGGTCGTCGATCGGTGAGTGAACGCCCACTCAGCAGCTGACACATTTTTAGGTTGTACTCTATTTATATTTTTGTTTCCTGTGTTTAAGACTTTGTAGAGATTTGGCATTGAGAAAAGTATGGATGGAAATAGATTTATGATCAAAATAAATTATTTATGATATACTTGGGATTAGAGATCACTGTTGCAAAATTTCCTTGTGTGTTGGTGTGTACAGAGTTTGGTGGGAAGTGGAAAATGCTGCATTATTTTGCACAGAACTTCTTTGCCGCCATCCTGCCTATCGGCTTTGAAGATGACGACACACTGTTCATCTACGCTGTCTCAGACCTGAGTCACGACATGACACTCAGGGCTGTGGTATGTTTTCAGTGGTAAACTGTATCTTTACATTACATTCATTTTGCAGACGCTTCTGTCCAAATGACTTAAAATGAGTCTATTCAAATTTAAAAGGAACAAGAGCTAGAGGTCATAAAAAAATTTGCATCCCTCCAAACAAATAAAAGCTTGTTCAGGGAGACGGTACAAGTGCTTACAGTTCCTATGTAATGCTGTACAGACAGTAAAAGCAGCATGTCTTTGTAAAAACAGGATGAAAAAACGGGCATTTAAGTAATTGTTTGCCTCAAAAGCTTGCAGTATAATATTTTTTCTTATCTGTTTCATATATTACTCTTTAGTTTCCACCTTGTGTATTTCTCACTAACCTTATTTTCAATATAACACAAATAAAGACAACTTACAAAACCTAGAGTTTGAAGAATATGGGTTTTTGAAGACCAGTACTGTGTATATTTGGATTTAAGCTGCTTATAAGTGATACGTTTGCTTTAGGTTTTAATGAGACTGGTTACATGTTGACATTTCAAGGGTAAATTTTGGCAATAGAGGCTAAATAAATATCACAAAACATTAAATCTAAGCCCTTACTTATTATATACACATTATCCACTAATTGTTAAATAATGACGATAATAAGTGTTGCACTGAATGGAAAAATAAAATAGAGATGAAGTACAACTGATCATCTCAACTCTACATTAAAAACTGATTCTTACAACAGTTTCTTGCCTAAAGTTCTGTTGTTTTGTCGATCAGGTGACCGTGTATTCCTGGACTGATGTGGATCCAGTGTGCACACTGAAATCGGACCTGCTCCTGGTCTCTGGAGGCAGCGCTGCGGTCATTTTTAAACAGCCAGTCACCGACCTGCTAGCAGGATGTGGACGCTGCACCCGCTTCACCTGCCTGCTCACCTTTCACCTGGAGGACAGCAGCGGCCAGCAGGGTCCCACTAACCACCACTTCCTCTGCTCACCCAAAGACGCTCAGGGACTCCAGAGACCCAACATCACAGTAAGACACCTTTTTCCAAAGGCTTTTGATCATTGTTTTATTTATTTATACACCGATGTGTAATAATGCATGGAAGCAGGGATGGAATAGTCCATTAATCTCTAGCGTGCGGCGAAGGGGTAACACATTGACGATGATAAAAGAAATGATTTGAGCGAGGGCACTTACAGCAGAGTATGGTACTGTATAACTTTAAACATGATTTTATATGTTTTATAATAAATGTATAGCTATTAGGGGCCATTGTAGTTGGGCTCACTCTTGAAAACGACTAGGAATAGGAATTATAAATCCGGTCTCATAGGTTGAACAGGATTCCTGAGTTACACCTTTATTCTACTGATAAATTGAGGCTTATTTTTGTCCCCCATGATGAATATCAGAGAGAGACAAATCATTTAATCTGTCTGTTTGTCCATCAAAACACATTATTTTAAATGTTGTGGATCTGACTTCATTTTTCTGGCATTTTCGCCTTTATTTTGATAGTGACAGGAAAGAGTGAGGGAGGGCATACAGGCAACAAAGGTATCAAAGCTAGGAGACGCATTGTTGAACAGACTTCAAAACAACACTTTATGGACTAAACTGGGCACTTAAAAATCGTCTCATATTTATTGTCTCTATTTTCACTCGTTACAAACACAGTGTGTCTTTCCCTGCAGGCGAAGGTGCAGGAGGATGAGACAGGATACTCTGTTAACCTTCACTCTGCCTCTGTGGCTCCTTTTGTCTGGCTCGATGTGGGAAATGTCCCCGGACGCTTCAGCTCCAACGGCTTCGTGATGGTTTCTAGAAACAGGACGGTCAGTTTCAACGCGTGGCGGCCCACCAGCGTCGCAGAACTCTCCACATCCCTCACCATCAGGTCTTTAAGGGACGTATACTGACCTGAGACCAGCCAGCCTCCATGTTGAGGTGTAACGTGCAGAGGCCACAGACGGGCAAAGTTCATGGCTGCTAGTATCTTCTTAAAGGTGTCTAAAAGTGTTTAAAGAGAAACTATGGCTGTGCTTGGGTCCTTGTGGCGTTTTGAAGGCTAGATGTTTTGTTTTTGCACTGTACTGGTGAAGCTGATTTTCAAACAAAGGAGAAAGTTTCTGTTTCCCCAGACATGTTTTGCTTTTCCTCAACAGAGCAGAAAAGACCATTGTGGGACAATGAAAATTTCAGACATTCCCATTTTTTTTGCTTTTACAGAACTTACTTTGTGTGCAAAACATTGACTGGCCAATTCCTGATGTGTTTTTTATTTAGATTATTTGTTTGGCAGTGTGCCTTAGCTAGTGACAGAACCCTATGGGAAAGGGCAGGTACAACATGCAACAAATGTTGAAATTGAACCAAGGACAGTTATAATAAATCTATCGACCAGGAACACCACCAAAAGAATTGCAAAAGATTGGAAGTTTGCTGTTGCAGAGACGACATGTAATCCGACCTGATTTGACATGACGATTGTATATTGTGCACTGAAACTTTTCCTTTTACATGTATTTCTTTTTTACACATCATGAATAAGACTTGAACTTTTGACATCTTGGAAGTATTGTATTACATACATTGCTTTGCAAATTATTATTATTTTTCATTTGCTCTTAATTTAGATTCAAGTGTTCATTTGTTTTTTATGTTTAAGTGCTTTACTGTTAATCAGTGTTCGTTCTGCCAATCAGAGCTCAGTTGTGGGGTTGAATTCTTTTTCTTCACGTGCTGTTTGGTACGATCAGCAGTCCAAAACCCAAATATATTCAGTTTACGTTTATATAAAACAGAGAAAAGCAGAAAATCATTAAATGATCAAAGCTGGAACCAGAGATTGTTGTTTTTTTCATTGAAGGACTAGTTTATTAACCGTTTTAGCTGTATGTTGCATCCTTAATGTTAATTTAATTTGTACTACTTTTCTCAAGTAGTTTTATTTTACTTGAGTATTTCCAAACTATGCTTAACCTTTTCCACACTAATAAAAAAATATTAATCTTAACAAATTAAGATTTTACAATAATCAGTTAACAAAATATGATGCATTTTTATACCCAACAGAATGTAAATCAGCTATAGTTAGTTCTACCTCAATAAGATACAGCATCAAAGTACAGGTTACATTAATGAATTAATAATAATAATCCAATTATGTACTGTAATTGTACAAAACTGGCAGGGTCCAATCTGTAGAATGAGTACTTTTCCTTTTAAGACTCTTAAGTACATTGTGTTGCTAATACTTCTGTAAAACATTGTATACAGGACTTCTACTACTTAATATTTATATTTTTAGTTGAGTAAATTATCTCAATACTTCTTCCACCACAGGAAACAAACACAGCTCATAAGAAACAGCTTTGATTTGAAGGTTTAGAGTGAATTTATACAGTATATTATTCGGTGATGGAATGTAACTAAGCTAAACTGGAAGGATTTCTTTTTCCTTTATGAGATCTTAAGCTAAATGAACTATTTGACACCCCCCACCCCCCCACCCGCGGATTTACTGGAAAAAGCATCATCACAAAGCTGAAAGCAGGGCTGTTGTTCAGAGCACATGAAAAGTTGCTGTAGATTTAACTACCCAACAGGATGTAAAGTAGTTAAAATTAGCTCAACCTTAAACATCTACAGCAGTAAAATGCAACACACACATTAACACAGCAGTAATATTAATCCAGAAACATCAGATATAATAGTAAAACACTTATAGGGGACAATTAACTGCAGAATGACTACTTTTGAAAATACATTTAATAAAGTTAGGTTATGAATGCAGGACCTTTCCTTAGTACTTTTACTTAAGCATAGGATCTGAATACTTCTTCCACCACTGCTTTTAGTACACCTTAACTTTCTGTTATGCAACCCCTTTGCTTTGGGTCCTGCATAAGTCCTGCACTGACCATCAGCTGCCACCAGGAGGCAACGTGGACGTTTAAAAACAAACGTCTACTCACCTGCACTGATGTTTATGTTTTTTTCTGCTTTCCAGCTGTTTCATAGTTGAACTAACGGAGATGCACAGCTGGAAACTGGGCTGCACTGCCTTATACATCCTGCATGCATGTTTTCCCACTTAACGTTGTTACAATTTGCACAGACACACACGCGGGGAGAGACTTTACAAGTTGGTGTGTGTGTGCGTGCGAGCGAGCACGTTGCATACCAAGAGAAAGTCAGTGACAAAAGAAAGCATTGAAACAGTGCACGCGGTCGGTCAACTCCATTTTTTCCCTTCATGCCTCTGCAGACTGATCTTTGAACCTCAGATCGATCTGATAGGTTCCCCGGAACACATCAGAAGGGGGCTGCTACTCCCAAAATAAGTTGATCAGGCCGGACAAACACTGCAAAGCTTTCAAGGAACAACACGATCTTTTTCTGCTCTGACTCTGCCATGGATTTGATTCAGGACCGCGTACAATCTCCACGGATACCTTGATTTTTGTGTTTCTTTGCTGAAGGAAATAACACTTAAAACCTAGATATGTTTAACTTAAGATCTTTTATTACGTGCGTTTTTGTTTTTATTTCAAAGTCTGAGAGTATAAATGTGATTGACCGGGATGCAGAGGGGTTTCTAGAGACCTTTTTACGCTTTTATGGTGAAAATAAATCCATCTCAACAGAGAATCTGGATAATTTACTGCTGTTAATCTCAGCCAGAAGATCCGAGATAATAACTGATGAAAATCCACTGGCAAACCAAGGGGTGAGCACGTGAACTATTTAGATTTATTACTATTTTATAGGCTACTGTTTACACTGATTAATGATCATTTACAGAACTGAACAACATTGAATTAGTTTAGAAGTGATTTCTTACAGTGTAACATGCAGTTATACCCAGTTTATAAGGCTTATGTATGAAAAACTAAACTCAAACTGCTGTTGACATTATTTAGTAATGCATACTGTCAAAATGCCTGAAACATAAAATGTCTAATATATCTGACTTGCTTTTTCTCTGTAGGTATCTGTAGTTAAATAATTGGCTTATTTTGAACAAATACTTGGTCATTAATGCATGTTTTATGTCCTTTTTTCTATCATTCCTTTATTATGTCACTAATAGTAATTTTTGCTTTTTGTCTAATTGAGATATTTAAAGATGCAATATTGCGCTCAATATGATGAAAGGCCTTTCTAAATTGAATTAGGGTATATAATTACATCAAACTTAATGTAACTGTCTGAGTCTAAGTGTAGTCTTACCTTTGCTCTCTTTTCTACTTTACAGTATGATAGGCTAACTTTATAATGAAGGTCATTAATGGATCCTGTTTAATTCCCAGCCAATAACAATAATACAACTGTACTTGTAGCACACACAGAAAAAGATGAAAAATACATTTAAAAGAAGACAAGATGCAAGTAGCTGCATTAAAACATTTTGAGGCAAAAGAGAATTTTAAAACCTTAAAAAATGTCTAAAAACATCTTTCTGCCACTCAGTGTCCCTCTGTAGAGCAGATCTTGTCCCACTTTGGGTTCAGTAATGTCACTCAGCTGACTGTGGAACATCTGGAGAGGATCTGTCCCGCTGTGTTGACCCAGGTGCTGCTGCCCTCCTGCCCCTTCACCTCCCCCAAACCTCTGCCTTCTCTTGACTACACTGGTGAGTTGCTTCATCACAATGTTGGTCTATTTGTTAAGACCCCCACAACTCAAAGAAGTCACAGTTCATGGGAGTTTGGTCCAGCAGTGCTTTAATCTACAGTGAAGCAAAGAGATTATTGCACAGTCACTGTGGATGGAGGACACTGTCCATGAAGACAGTGATTGTCGTAAACCCTGAAAAACTAGAAGATGTGGGCTGAGAGTTCAAATCCAGCATCTGAGGTCTTTACTTCTCTTTCCCACAAAACAAACAAGTAAAACCTGTGACACTGAACATTTACCTTTTAAGCTCTTTGCTTTGGTTCATTCTTACAAGAATACATAAAGTCAATACACTAACTATGAAAAAGAGGTCTGTTACTTTCCAGGTTTTGTAAAGTTTAAAAACTTCACAAATGGTTTGAAAAAGTATAGAGATTTTGTTTTATTTTACATATGGTTTTCCCCAATTTTTTCTTATCCCTAATACTTGTTAAAATAAATTAAAAGCCATTAAAGCCATTAAAATTTAAGATTGTGTGGTATGATCAAAAGCTGCAGAACTGTTCCTAAATGGACCTTGTGGTGAGATTGTTTTGCTGTTTGCAAGGTCAAGAATGAACTTTGAGTCTGAGATGACTTTTGACTCTTTTTTTCACCACCAAGAAGCAAAACTAGAAGCCCTTGAAGGTTATTGCATGTTCTGACATTTGTCTTGAGTAGATATTTACAATAGGTGGACAGTTTGCAGAGGTTTAAAGCACAAACAGACACAATATTGGGCAGACAAAAGGACATCACCCTTACCTAAGCCTCTGCCTTTATTCAACAAGAGGAGATATATGAGTAGATTTTTAAAATTATTTTTAAGGCTAGTTACTGGTAATCAATCAGAGTAGTAGGGATTTTTATTCCTTACTTTGTTCCTAACTTGTCTAGTGTATGGGTGCCCTGGTGGATCCTCACGTTTGAATCTGAACCTCGTCTGTGGTCGCCACCCTCTGTCTTGCCAGTCTTACTTGTCTGTCTTAACTAAAATAAAATCAGAGAGACCATTATGTCCTGTGGAGGAGCCGTAAGCCTCCACATTGCCCTGGACTGACTCACACAGCCACTGACCTCTCAGATTCACCGTCAAACACTCCTCCTCAGGGCTGTTGACATAGTTACAGCCAACTGTGACTGTTGTTCAGTGTGTTGTTCATGATGCATGCTGTTTCTTGCCCGGCCTTGTGAACAGAATTTCTCCTCTGCAAATAAATAGCAGGTTTTCAAGTTGCACATCTTCCAGCAGAAATCATGGTGTTGCTTTTGAAGAATAGGTTCCGCCCAGATAATGGCAAATTATATAAGATAAGCTTTACTTATCTTCTAATGGGAAATTCAGTTGTTATTGCAACAGCACAAGGACATAAATAAGTACAGATAAATGGATAAAGTAAAAAAAATAAGCTATATACAACTAAAATAAGATACATTTTGCATATTAAGTAATATTATTGTTAACCAATATTAATTTTGCTACCAGTCTTAGGCCAACACTAAATGACACTAGCAGTGAACAAATAGAAAAAGAAGTTTGTGGGTCGCTAACAATGCTGAGGAGCATGCAATTTCTTCACACGCCAATGAATTTGTCCTGCAAACATCCTTGTGACGGCTTTTCTTTTTTTTTGATGGAGTGAGCAGATCAGTTGGTCATGTTTCAATTAACCCAGATACAAATAAAAAAAAGTTCTTCTTTAGAAAGTCAAGAACTGGAAATTTTCATATTTATAAGAAATCTATGATGTGTTGTGTGACCCTGATTGATTATTTATATATTTGTGACATCAGCTGAGTCAACAAAGCATAGAAACAAAACTACTTGATGTGTAACTCTGGCAGATAATTGTGCGTTGAAGTAGGGTCCTGTCACTGATGGAGAGAAGCTGATAAGCTTGAGAAAATACATTTTCAGAACCTAACCCTAACCCACAGCTATTAGTCAGCTGGCTATTACCTAAACACAAAATCTTTGTGGTTAATCTCTGTAAAAATTAGTCAATGAGAAAAACCATGAAATCTACCATGTGATATTTGTCACAATGATAAGGTTGTTCTGTATAAATAGAAATAGTTTCTGCTTTCAATCACTGCTATTTAAGAGTTGGAAAATGAACTTTCTGACCCTCAGTTTAACCTCATAGGCAGCAATTACAATGGCCCTGCTCCTCTTTGGTTTAGATCACGTGCATGGTTGGGGTTAAGGTCTGCTTGTATTGCCATAAAAGCAGCCTGAGGGGAGTCACTGCCTCATAGACTCACCTCAGGGCAAAAGAAGTCCCACCAGACCAATCCTCCAATATGGCCACCAGTAGATGTCCTGCATGACCTTAAATCCTCTACAAACTTTTGTCCAGTTCTTTTACATTTGTTGTTTCAAACACATTCCTGAGAAAAGTAACATGTTTTACAGTTCAAACAGCGGTTTACAAACAGTTTTAAATAATTCATAGTAGAAGAATTGGTTGAAAAGATGAGCAATGACAGAAAATTCAAGTTAGATGACGTCACACACAAAAAGGATGCTTTCCAACATTATAATGTTAAGTGTTAGTAACTGTTTGTCCTTAATTTCTGCCCTGACAGTGTGGGGTTATGGGTTTCTGGCTGTCACTGTGATCAACCTGTCGTCTCTGCTTGGTCTCCTACTGGTCCCCTTCACCAAGAAGTCTTATTTCCCCAAAGTGCTAACTTACTTCATTGGCCTGGCCATTGGGACACTCTTCTCCAATGCTGTACTTCAGCTCATACCAGAGGTTTGTAGGAGGAGCGACTCACCAGATCAACAAATGTTCTCAATATATTTTAGGGCTTAAAAAATGGATGTGTTGTATACTAACATGTCTGTAACATTCTTCTGTACAGGCCCTGGGTTTTGATCCCAAATTGGATAACTATGTGGCAAATTCAGTTGGAATATTTGGAGGGTTTTATATCCTATTCTTCGTGGAGAAGATACTTAAACTGGCTCTCGGGATAGAGCATGAGGTAAGATAACAGTGCAGTACTTGAGTTCATTGGGTGCAAACCACTTTACTGCAGAGGGATATGATTTATTCCAGTTGTGTACCTGTCTGTAAATAACCCTGGTTTATTGGCTAATTTGGCTGACATTTAGTGACTACCAGGAAGCAATTACAGTTTATGTCACTTACAGTATTTGTTATTATCATTTTCATTGTGTACAAGGGTCAGGGACTCAAGGATCACAGACTGTTAAGATTAATATAAGAGCGCAGAATGCTAGTATTAACTTGAAGTTAATGTATTGATATCAGGTAACAGTACAGAAAACTGATTTTTTTTTTGATGAAGCTGAAAAAGACGGTGAAAGTCAAAATAGTATAATGAAGCTCTACAGCATTAAAGTCAACATTTTGTACCAATAATCTTTTAGGAAATACGCTTACTTTTTATGCTAAAATAGCTTTCCTGCGGAGAGTTGGATGAAATATTAAAGCTTAGCTTTGTATAACCCCTCATAAAACCGCAACCTATATTACTATGGGTTTTGTACAGATTTAAGAAAGCAAATAAACGTATTTCCCAATATGTTAAACTTTAGGATAAAAGAATGCAGTGATGTAAAATGTTACAAAGACTCTGCTGGGATCTGATGTTTCCAAAGTTGTGCCACCATATTGATCAGACCTCTTTTTTCACCTTTATTTCCTAATGGTAGATTTACTGGACAGAATGCTAAGTATGGGGTGGCTTGCAAATGAATTTATCTACAGATATTCATGGTCTGAAGAGGATGTATCCTACTGAATCTGGTGATCCCTTGACGTTTCCTTTAGCGCCACCATGAGGTTGACATTTGTGGTTTTGATTGAAAAATTCTCAAGCAATTGATTGAATGCCATGAAATTTAGAAACAAATGGCACAATGTGGAGACTTATAAGTTTTGAAATCTTGACGCTATATTTGATTGCTTGGTTTTATATCTTTGGGTAATAAAGTAATAGTAAGTAATGAATATTTGCTGCCTACCTATGTTTTTCAATCTTCAAATAAAAAAAAAGAAGACTTTTGCAGATTATCCCTTCAGTTTACCAATTCATTAAAGCTATATGGTGCCTCTCTTGTCCTTAGCATGGCCACAGCCACTTCACTCCTGCAGAGCCGCATCAAGAAAATTCCCTCCACAACGGAAACATACTGGAAAAAAAAGACTCCATCATTTTGACAAGCATCAACACCATTGCAGCAGATATCAGCAACCCAAACCCAGAACCTCCACATACAAATGTGACACCTTCTCAGGTATCAGTGCCATCTCACATCATCTGTAACAGTAAGAAAATATAGAGGCTGAATTAAATATTCATTCTTGGGATTGATCAACTCTCCCTGCACATGTCACACTAACCTACAGAGCAATCAACCTTGTACTCAATAATCTTTTATCTAAGGACTAGCTTAAGATAAGCTTCTTTGAAGTTGTATCTTAAATAATTACAAGCTTGATAGAGAATGCAGTCCACTATCACAGACACACCTGACAGGAATTCATCGTGGACTATCACCAAATGAATGGATTTCAAACATCTTATCAATCATACGTGTGTGAGTTGCACTATTTGTCATGCAAAGAGTCAAATTGCACAAACATGAACAGTATTTCGAAATATATCCAAAGAAGATGAAGCAACCAGAAAGCGGTGATATCTTAACGTGATTTGGAAACACTTTCTGTTTTTCTAGGAGCTCAGATATTTTTGCTTAAGAGTAATTTTTAGTGCTGTTATCAGTGACACAGAGTGATTAGAGCTACTGTTAATGTTTTACAGTAAAATCTCTTGTGTCCTATGGAGGAGTCTGGCTTGAAGGGATCAAAATATTAAACAAACAGACGAGCCAGTGTCACAGAGGGATCAAACAGTGAAACCAAGCCGTAGGCCTCACTTCCTTACCCTCATGGTAAATGCTGGAATTGTCTGACTCGAGCACAAAGACTCTTTGTTTGGCCGTGGCTAATAAAAGGGACATTTTGTCACAGCATAGTATCACCCAATCTGTTAATGTCCGCCTCTTCTCAGGTTTACCATTAAAAACACTCATGCCATTATATTTTTAAGTAAAGAGTTGTGTTGCAAATGCTGCACATCCATTTAGGAAAATATTTAAGCAGTATTCGTTGCATGTTGTGGATCCATGGACCCAGTCTGTCACCACTTTGATCTAACTTCCAACATCCAAGGCCTCCAGAGGATGAATCCACTTGGTGATCCCCTGACATACCTCTAGCACCGCCATGAGGTTTTGTGTGAAATGTGTAAACAATTACTGGATGGATTCCCTCAAAATTTAAAGAGGTGGTATTCTGCTTATTTTCAGGTTCAAAATCCTATTTAGGGGTTGTACCAGAACAGGTTTACATGGTTTAATTTTCAAAAAACACCATATTTTTTTGTCATACATTGCTGCAGCTCCTCTTTTCACCCTGTGTTGAAGGCTTCGTTTTAGCTATGGATTGATACATCTTGTCTCTAAATGATCTTTGTTGGGAGTTGCACATGCGCCGTTCCTAGTTAAGGACTACTAGCCAATCAGAAGCAGAGAAGATGGTAAACAGCTTCGATTCAGCTGTAGGCTACATGTTGCCGACCAGGTTGGCAATTAGGCAAAAGAGTTATTAATCTGTAACAAGTTTTAAGTGAGCTCTGTCTCTACATCACAGTAACAACTTTATGTCCATTGACTGCCTGGAGGGTAGCTAGTGTTTGGAAGGGAGAGGAGAGGTGTGTGCTGCAGCTCAGTGTTTTTCCACCGGTGTTTTTTAGGGCGTGTCGGACTAGCCACTCAGCGAGCATTATGACACGTATGTGTGACTTCACAAGAAAGGGAAGTACAAACGAGCTGTTTTTAGGCAGTTCAGAGCAGAGTTTTGTGTGGGAGATGGGAACTCCCTTTGGGGTGAACTTTCAGGTTTTTCACTTTGCAAACATGCACAAAAAAGATATGTAACTCAATAAAAAAACCATAATACCACCTCTTTAATACAGACATTCACATCACCTCAGGATGAATTGAAATAACTTTGGTGATCGCTTAACCAAATCTAGCACCATCAACAATCTAGGTAAAAACATGTCCAATATTTTGGTTTATGACTACATACCTGAATAACGTATGACATTCCCATCATCCTCAGAAGAACTACACCTATGTCATACAGTGTCACCATTACCATTATATCTGTTAAACATCAGTATAACTTCATTATCATTCTGATGTTAGCATTTTCGAATGCAGCAGTGCAAGTTTTAAAAAAAAGCTTTGGTCACTCCAGTGATGTCTAAATTAAACATGTAGGGTTTTGAAGCGATCACATGCAATCTTAACTTAAAATCGGAAAATTTGTTGCACTCTAATTTGTAATATTGATGAGAAAATGCCTTAGCAAGGTATTGATCAGATGCCAAAAGGAAAATGTTTTGTGCTTTGTCCCTTAATTTCTGGATAATTTGAACTTTTGGTTTTAAACAAAAACATCATTGTGTGTTATCTTTGTGGTTCCCTAAATCCACATATGTTATTGTTTGCATATTACTCTTCTTTGGCATAATCAATCAGTAGCATGAGTTGAATGCCTTTAACCTCTCCTCACCAGGATGCCCAGGTATCTGGTATGATGTGCCACTGGCTCCGTGGGCAACGCATCTCCAACATCAAGACAGTGGCGTGGATGATAACTCTGAGCGACGCACTGCACAACTTCATTGATGGTCTAGCTATCGGTGCCTCATTCACTGTGTCGGTATTGGCGGGGTTCAGCACGTCCACCGCCATTGTATGTGAGGAGTTTCCCCATGAGCTAGGTGAGAGTCTTGTTCATCCCCAGCCTTGTGGCCATTAAAAAAACATCTCAGGTTTGAATGTTTAAATCAGTGTAAACATCTCATAGCTCCAGTAAAGAGCTGGAAAAGGCTTATAAAGAAAATATGATTCTGTGAAACAGGGTAGAATAAAATTACATTAAATGTATAAAAACTTTTAAGGGGAAATAATGAGAACACTAGATTTTAAGGCAAGCAAGGCAAGTTAATTGTATAGCATGTTTTAACAGCAAGGCAATTAAAAGTGCTTTACATAAACAGCAAAAACAACACAGGGCAATATACAATTATTTTATAAAATTAAAAAAGAATTAAATACAAAATAAACAGAAGATAAAACTGGTAAAAGTAAAAGTTGCAGTGCAATGTAAGATATTATTCAAACACTTTACATTTGATTTAACAAAAGGCAGCAGCAAAACAAGGGATTAAAAAGGATTAAAAGCAGGTTATGTCTTATGTCAAACTAGAAGGGCCATTGGGATTCGGTGATCTTTATCTACCTCTACTGAGATAGTGCAGAATTGCACCACAACTTTTGTTTGTTGTGTTTCAACTCCACACACTACAGTATGTCTGTAAGGCTAAGAGGTTTTGAATTGAACTCACAGATTTTTTTTGAGGCTGCTGATATTTTTGCTCTTATATGTAAATTAGGTGGACGATATTAAGTCCAATACAATGCTTTTGTATCACATTACATTTCATTATACAGGTGTTTCTATTCTCCTGGTCACTTAAACAGAGAAAGAAACATGCTTTGTACTATCTTTATAGCATACCAAGTGACGTAATTAAGTTAGATATATAGATATATTTTGGGGCATTTTAGCTGATATTATAGAGTAGACAGAGAGGAAACATGCAGCAAAGATCTGAAGCTGGAATCAAACTGGGGACATTATGGTTATATGATACTCGTCTTAAGATGGAAGAGGTGTTCAGATCTTTTGCTTAAGTAAAAGTACTACTACTGATAATAATAATAATCTTTATTTGTAGAGCACTTTTCAAAAACAAGTTACAAAGTGCTTTAATAATACCCAAAAGACAATAATACAAAAACAATACAAGATAAAAGCAAGAAAACATAGAAAAGATTAAAATACATGTTTAAGATAAATATAAAATAAGTAAAATATAATAAAATAAAAGGGATAAAATAAAGTCAAGTAAGATTGGGAAAGGCTCTCTTATAAAAGTATGTTTTAAGAAGGGACTTAAAGGAGTTTACTGACTCAGCCGACCTGATTTCCTCGGGCAGGCTGTTCCAGAGCCTCGGGGCCCTGACAGCAAACGCTCTGTCCCCTTTAGTTTTCAGTCGAGAGTCTGGAACAGACAACAGACCTCTGCCCGAGGATCTCAAGGTACGTGCTGGTGCGTATGGGACTAAAAGTTCAGAAATATAACAAGGCGAGAGGCCATGAAGAGCTTCAAAAGTGATCATTTAAAGTCAATTCTAAAACATACTGGGAGCCAGTGTAATGAAGCTAAAATAGGAGTAATGTGGTCATATTTCTTTGTTCTGGTTAAAAGCCTGGCAGCTGAGTTCTGCACAGTCTGGAGTCGATCAGTAGATTTTTGGGTTAAAAAAGTGAAAAGGCTGTTGCAATAATCCAGGCGTGATAAGATGAAGGCGTGTAAAATGGTCTCGGTGTCCTTAAAAGTTAACATAGATGGAATTTTTGCTATATTTCCAAGTTGATAAAAACATGATTAAACAAGCTTTGTGGTGTGCTGCTTGAAATTTAAATTACTATCAAACCAAACACCAAGGTTCTTTGCAATTTCTGTTTTGTTCAGCTGGAGGAAATTATTTGACATCCATTTTTTAACTTCACAAAGGCAGTTGTTAAGTGAACTCAGCATTCCAGGGTCTGTGGATTTGACGGGCAAGTACATTTGTGTGTCATCAGCATAAATATAGAAAAGAAATGCCATGTTTATGGATAATATGTCCAAGGGGAAGCAGATACAAGGAAAACAAAATGGTTCCTAAGACCGACCCCTGAGGCAAACCATATTTAACTTGACAGAATGAGGAGACATAGTTGTTTACAGACACGTAAAACTTCCTATTTGACAGGTAGGATGAAAAATTGAATTGATGAAAATTCTAGGGCAGTACCAGAGATTAATGTGCTGTCAGGATGAAAATGCATGTGTTTGCTAACTGCACAGAAATGTATACTGAAGAAAGAATAATGTATATTTCTACACAAAAGATGGAGTCATATTACTATGGGAGTCAGACTTCTACTTAAAGCATGTTGAATAAGGTTACCAGATTTCTGAAATGAAAACCAGGGACATTTTTGGTTTGGTGGTCAGTATGTCATTAAAAATATAATGTTATTATATATTAAATAAAAAAGGGAGACAATTTTGGTTTTATAATCTGTCAAATATAACTCTAAATGAAATCAAGTCATTTTGAAGCAGAAACTACCTTTCAGTCAATAAGTAGAGGCTGCAATCACTTTCTGGCAAGTAGAATATTGCATTTTATGTGTTGTACTGGCCATTTAAAAGCATGTTAAGAGGTAAAAAAGTACTAGTTGAATTATAATCTGTCAAATATAACTTCTGAATGAAATCTTAATTTTAATTAATTATAGGCTACATTCTGTTTCCAGATAAGGATTTTGTTAAAGGAAATGTTAAAGTTTAAAGACATACCTTTGCGGTTTATTTGCACGTTATGTCTGTTTGATCCAAATAAAAGCAGCTGTAAACGTAAAGCGACTGGGCGAAAAAGCTTTAACATGCTGCGCGCACTCCAGCAGACAATCAGTTTTCAGCGGTCTATCAATTTTCAGCACAGCACCTGTCTTTCTGGACACGTAAAATCTGATTTCAGGCCTGTTAACACCTTAAACAGTCTATGATTAACACCCAGTTAAAAACGGGGACAGCTCCAGACAGGGACAGGCCACCAAAACTGGGGACTGTCCCCGGAAAATGGGGATGTCTGTTCACCCTAATGTTGAATATAAATATCTTTGGCTTACTCGTAGCACCATTCCCTCAAAGTAAAGAGCTTATTTGAACTCCAGTGGGTAATTCATTTTTGTGCCAAAACTGAATAAAGGTCAGTAGAGTCTACTAATTGGACTTTTAAACTCAAACATCACATTTGTACATAATATTTCAGTTACCCACATTTAATCTTTGCTTGCTGGATGCTTTGCTACAGAAATATCAGTATCTTTGTTTCAAGTCAAAAACTATTTTAATCAAACTTAAGCATTCAAACTAATTTACAGAGCAAAGTCTATTTCAAACCGCCCTGTTAACTTATCAGTTTTAACCATTGCTTTATCAAACTTGTGTTGTGTGCTCTGTGCAGGTGACTTCGTTATCCTGCTGAATGCTGGTATGAGCGTCCCTCAAGCCATTTTCTTCAACCTGCTGTCATCAGTGTCATGTTACGTCGGTCTTGTGTTTGGCATACTGCTCGGTAGCAATTTTGCCCCCAACGCAATCTTTGCCATCGCAGGAGGAATGTTCCTGTACATTGCACTGGCAGACATGGTGAGTTAGGTTACACCACCTGAGGAGACTACATGTACAGATTTCCATTCATTTGGTTAGTATTTTAGTGTTATTTTATGTTTGTCATTGTCAACAGACCCCATGAAATGACCAAAATCAGTCTGTCTCTTGACACTTTCTGACTTCCCAAACCTGTCTGTGGCACTCTCAGTCTTTAAAGCTGCTACAGTCAATAAATCAAATGACTACATACACTGGAGTTCCCCTCAGCTCTTCAGAGCATTTAAGCATCTTTCAGCTCACTGTTTTAGTTAACAGCCCACAATTTCAGTGTTTTGGTTCCCTCTCACTGCTCTCATCTCGTTTGTTTCGTAAACCAGCACTGTGCACTACCTGCCCAGCACAACACAGCAGAAATATCAGCTGAAATAATTGGATTTAAATTCATCGGGAGGCCAGAAACACAACTCCAAATGAATGTTGATGAACTGTTTAGTAACATAACTTTGTAATATGATGTCAATTTTGTGTTTACAGCTTGTTGTGTTGCCGCCAAGTGGCCAAATAAATCAATGAATGTTGGATTAAAATTAATCAAACAACTCAATTCTACAACCCCTGGACACTGTAGTTTTCAGCAAGCATTCCTCAAACAGAAGTAAGATTCTACAAAGTCAGCTCATCATACTGTATTTCTAGAATCTGTGAGCCCTTGAAGCAAGAAAAGAGAGATTTTTTTACCTTCTCAGATACGTTAATTTGAATAACATAAGAGGCCTGAAGAGGTAAAACTATCCAGTGTAGTTTCCAGCATTGTAAAGATAAATATCCTTAAAAATAAACTTAATTTTATGAAGGAGAAAAATATTTTTGTTCCTAACTTGTTAATCAATTTGTGACCCTTAGACTTATTAATCAAGTAAAGGCTTTGGGTACAAAGTGAATTATCGTTAGTAGGATCAATTCCTGGTTGGTTTTGTTTTTTTCATGGGATTTGTTGACAATAAGACCAGCAGTAAGATGATCGCTGACTTGTGGTCTTTTCTCCAGTCTTCTTTGTAAGGGAACAACATAATAACTATGTCTCACACATAACAACCTATTCACACTTCTTCTTATCACTTTCCATTTTGTATTATACTGTTGAACAATAAGGCCATTGTAATTTGTCTGTTAGAGGATTGTTATGAAGAGACACATATCTGATTGTCATTCTTCATTTCAGTTTCCAGAGATGGACGGCATAGTACGGGAACAGAAGCGGACCTCCACCAAGATCATCTTCTTCCTGATCCAGAACGCAGGGCTGCTCACCGGGTTCACTATTATACTGCTGATCACCATGTTTGCAGGGGAGATCAACCTGGGCTAGAGGGGAGGAGGGAAAGAGGAACACAAACTAGATAGAAAAAATACATAAATAAAGGAGCTGCTTTCGTTTATGCTTACTCGGCTGGGCAGGAAAGTGAATGTTTTGTACAAACAAAACCAAACCTTTAATGAAAAAAATAATGCTTTTATATCTTTTGACTGACTATCACTTTAGTGGAATGTTTACTCTGTATAAAAAGGGAAAATCGTAACAATCATTTGATGTATGAACTCTAGTCAAATTTGTTTTTGAGCAGACAATAAATTATTTTTTCAGTCTTCATGTAGTGTGAAATTTCTTACATTTATTGTACCTCATTGGTGCTGAAGTGTAAACTAATAAGCTATATTATTGTGACAACACTTATTGCTTTGCTTTCAATGTCAGTAATGTTTGACCTCAGAGTTTTGTGACCTCCTCTTCACTGGCTTCACTTTTTTATTTTACCTTTCAGAGTCATTGTCTTTTTGAGAATAGTATGTATTTTGATTTCTGTCAAATTTTTGGCACTTGTTAAGATTTCATTTAAACGCGTGGGACCGATTGTGCTCCATACAGCAAAATATAACTAAAATCTCCACCATGACTACAAATGACATGAACTTTGGTGAGCTTTGTAGCCAGGTTCAAAGTACACGATGAACCTGGTAGTACTAGCTGTGCACATGTACGGTGCCGTACATTCATTCCTGTTTTTCCTTTCAGGATTTTATTACATGGAAAGCTTCTGCCAGCGGCTAAATGATTAGTACAATAAACAACTTGGGACACCACAAATGCCAAAGTCAAGAAATTCATTAATAAAAATGGACCCATTATGTACAATATGTGCATTTTTCAATCATATCCTGAACCTTTGATCTGTGTTCCCCACTTTATTCTATGTAATTTGTTCAATTCCTTCAAATTGATGCTTTCTTTCTATGCAAACCACTTTATTTGTTAAAGGTTTTAAGCTAAAGTTTTTAATTTGTATATGTAAAAACAAACGATAAAAATGTGCATTTTTTATGCCATGCATATTATTGTGTGGATATCTTATTCTATAAAATGATTAATTCTAAATTACCAACCACATACTGTGGGCAAGTGATTCCCCTTTATAAATAGTGCTTATTTCTTTGTGCCAACAACAACATATTAATTGTTAATCTAGTAATATTTGTGCAGTGCCAGTGTTATTCCATTATGTAACTTTGCAATATAAGAGGTTCAGAGTTGGGATGTATTATATTAAACAGTTGGTCTGCAAGTGGCAGCCAATCCGCATGAAACAGGAAGTGGATTACGCTGCGTTCAAGTCCATTGTACCGCTATGATCATCACAATCGAAAAACGCTTCACATCAGCAGGCTAGCTGTTATGTGTCGAATATATCGCGGGTGTTTGACAGTGACAATTTCAACAACTCCACGGCAAGATTAAGGAAGTACAATCTATCGAAAATCCCAGACAGGAATGACAGGATGTTTGATTTCCTATTCTGAGGACAGTCCCTGAATGCAACATACCCGAGGATTAGTAGTAGGCAAATGAAAAGAGAGAATTTGGACTTCTGGCAACTTTTCAGCGGCGCTCAGCAAATTCAGATCTGCTGTCAAACGTTAAAACATAGGTGAGTCACGTTTTTATTCACATCAGTTTGTCCCTCCAGAGAATCTCCGGAACAAAACTAATCTAATCTATTTTGGCAGCTTTGTGAGGCTAGCACAGATGTTGGCTGCTCTTAACTTAACTAAGTGAATCAGTGGAATTAAATCCTTGTCGTCTTTCAGCATTTTCTGAGCAGACGACAAACAGCAATGCGTTTAAGCTCTGAATATTATTATTATTTTTTTAATGTTGAAGGGGTTAACAGTTCATGCTAAGGTTGGTCAACGGCAAGCAGAGCTAGCATTACTAAGATAACGTTAACTGTCTAATTTATTTGGTTTACCTTTGATGAAGAAATGGAGAATATGACAGCTAATGGTTCATATTTTTACTTGAAAAATCCCTCGATTTTATACTTTATGCACTATAGTTTAGAGACATACGGACTGGCTGTGATGCTAAATGGCAACCAGGCCAGACGAAATAATAATAATAATAACGAGATTGCAAACTAGTCATTTGTAGTATTTTGCCACCTCTCACATTTTAAACTCCTATTGTCGTTTTAAAAAGCAGGGCTGAGCCATGGCCAGCTTTCAGATTCGGAAGTATCGGGATGATGACGCCGAAGCAGTGAAGGAAGTTTTCACCTTGGGGATGAGCGAGCACGTACCTTCATCCTTCATGCACCTCCTGAAGCAGCCGCTTACCCAAATGGTGGTCATGTGCATGTTTTGCGCTCTCCTGACTAGCTCCAAGTCCTTCCTGCTACCCATCCTGGCCGTTACCCTCCTCCTGGCCGGGGCCCGGCAGTCTGTTGTCTACATGTTCAGCAGATACATCGACACCTCCCTCAAAAAGGACCTCAACAACATCAGTGAGACCTACATAAATCAGAAGGACTCGTGTTTTTGGGTGGCAGAAAGTGACGGTCGGGTGGTCGGCACTGTGGCTTGTCTCCCTAATGAGAATGCACCGGAGTGTTTGGAGCTGAAACGCATGTCTGTACTTCACACTCACCGCGGGATAGGCATCGCTAAGGCTCTGTGTCGGACAGTAGCTGAATTTACTCGCGACAGGGGTTATGCAGCAGTCATCCTGTACACTTCTGTGGTGCAGACAGACGCTCAGAAGCTGTATGAGCACATGGGCTACGAGAAGACAGGAGAGTTTGTTGTTCCTGAGCTTGTTGCCAAAATCACAAACTTCACTGTGTTTGAGTACAAACTCAATCTACAGAGGGATGGGAAACAGGACTGAGTGGTCTTAAACTAAGACACATAAAGACTGTCACATTTCAGAGCGACAGAACCGTCCGTTCACCCAGTTTCTATCCTCATGTTTACCCAGCATGCATCGCAGGTCAGGCAGCCAAACGTTCAGGATATGTGAGGTGACCTTAACACACTTACAGGAAAATGATAGGCATGTTTTCTATGATAGATGGATCATTTATTATTGTTTTTTAAACAAAGTTGTTTAATAGGTGAAATGTGTTTATTGAGCTTAACGGCAATTTAATTATTAGTTTTTGTGAAAGATTTAATTTCTACATGATATTGAGAATAAACTAACACACCTGAACATGCTCCTACAAATTTGTAGCATTACAATTTTTTGTAGTGTTATCAGGGATGCATTAATCTGACACACTGGATCAGTATGAACCCTGATACTGATCTTATCAATCCCTCATGTTACCATGGATTGGCACTTGGTATTTGCACTGGTAGATAACGGGAGAAATGTGTCTCAGTCATGTTATGATATTATGTTGCACTCAAAGAAATTAGGGGTGGTTGTGACTCTGTGATCACTAAGGTGCTTGATATAAACATTATAGGTCTGATTTTAGTAGCCTACTTGAATAGGATACGTGTTTCACATTCTTTTCATATCAACCAAAAACATGACGTGCCAGAGTACATCCCCTGATACTCTCCATTTTGAGTTCTACTGTTGTTAACACTTTATGCACTCGCATATTTAACAGTATTACCCTCTGACATTTTAGTGGTGAAACACACTAATACTTCAACCTAGAAAATAATAAAATACATAAAACATTACAAAAATATGTAAAAAAAAAACAAACAAACTAAAACCTCACACACAAACATTGCACAACTAAGGTAACATTAACCTGGTGTTTAAACTGACTAACAGTCTTAAGGTTAAAGGAAACTTAACTTACATTGTAGACATAACAGTGCACAGATTGTCCCAGAGAAGCTAAAGTTTCTTCAAAACATGATTTAAGATTTGTGAAGCATTTATTGTATTTGTGAAAAGGAAAAATGTGTGTGTGTGTATATAAATATATATATATAACGGGACAAAATGGTTGGATTGGTGCATAAAACAGTACAAAAACATGTAAAACAACTGCTAAAACCCCCACACATAAAACAAATGTAGTTGAATTTGTTGTTTTACTTTTCCATGGGTGGAATAAGAAAACAGAATTTAAATGTGTTTCTAATTTATTTATTTATTTTTAAATAACATATCTAAATATTATTCACCCACTCTCGCACTCGCCTTGGCTAAGTTAAGTTTAAAAAGTGCTTCATGGCAAACGAGAAATTTTTCAGAGGAATTATCTTGTAATAAAAATATTACACATATACAGCATAACATTGTCTGTCGGTGTTTAAACAGTGAATGTTGTAATATACGTGACATATTTATAGACTTCTACACTGTGAAAAATTATCACCGGGCTCCTCGGTTTCTGTGAGGCAGGCTGAGTCAGGCAGCAGCTCGGACACCTCAGGACGGATGTGTCCGGTCAGACCTCCATGGATGGATGTAGCCTGTCAGGGACGAAGCTGAGCGGTTAGCCTGATTTTGGGACACAAAGAGGTACGATTTAGAACATATATGTCATCTGGACAGTGGGGGATGAATTCAACATACATATACACACCTGTTTGGATATATATATGTATTTGTGCGTCTTATACGAAATGTAAAAATAAAGGTTTTGTTGATAAAGCCAACCGAGGCTAACAGCTACTTCTGCTAGCAGCTGGTCAGGGAGTGTCCCACTGACAGCTGACAGCACCAAACATCAGCGTTAAACGTCAAACCAGTCACAGCTGTTAAAAATGCAATATTTGCACATTAAAACGACTAATTAGGGAATCGAGACCCTTACAAATATTTAAGCAGCTTTGGTTGGTGATTAATGGAGACGGTGTTCATACGGATATCCAGACCTAATGAGATAAATGGGCTTTATTGTGGTTTTAATTAATTAATCTCCTATCCAGATTTTTTTTATTTTTTTATTTTTTTTATTTCCCATCCAATTTGGCTTATCTGTTGGGGAGAAAATGTCTAGTCAAGCTGCAGCCACACCCATGCTGTGATTTATTTGTATTCCCACCAGACGTAACAGGCAAAATATTAGTATTATTTCACTTTTTTGGATTAATAGTTGCTAATTATGTTAAATAAATTAAAACAGAAATGGCATTATTGTGGACAGTGAAGCAGTATGTTGTCTTTGGAGGAGGCTTTGAACTCACTAGATGGCACCAAATTACAAATTTAGCTCTCACATGTCACATTAGCCATAAACGTTTTTATTTCTATATTGTAAGGATTTTTTTTATTGACCACTCAATAAAATTGGGTTAATTGGTGCTAATTTCATGCACTTTGGAGTGAAGCACTCCAACAAACAGGCTCAGCCCCTGTTTTCTATGGATGACCTATTTTTCCTGTATAAATGTTACAGTGTTGAGATCAGACTGTAACTCATTAGTATGCATGTAAAGAAGAGGAGGCCCAACATATAGATATTTAATTTACAATATAAAACTAAACTCAGTTAATTATCACATTTGAGACACTGGAGACAGTGAATGTTTAGTGACCATAAGATTTGCGGCAGAATAATTTTCTGTTGATTGTCTAAGCAATTTATTGATAAATCACTCCTTATAGGCCTTACAATGAAATGTCAGATTTATGTGGTCTACATGGTTATATAGCATACTGGATATCAGAGGTAAAACAATTAAGAGAATTGGTTAATCAGACAACACTACATGTACAGTAAGACACTTTTCAAGTCTCCCTGATTATTAAAGGCTTAGATGATCACTTTTGGTGTTCTAATATGGATTAAATGAACTTTAGTTGCCTATGAGTTACTAAATTATCCTCATATTAAATGAAACTAGTGTGAGAGCCATTGGTCAGTTAGTGAGTCAAGCAATTCGAAAATTTTAGTCAATAGTTTAAACCAATTATCAGGTAAAAACGAACATTACTATTTAACAGTGGCGAAAAGTTGCTTGATCTGTTTCATATCTTTATGCAGTAAATCATTTGGTTTTCTGGCTGTAGGTCATTAAATAGCCAGCCTGAAGGCATCACTTTGGGATCTGGATTTTAAAATAGAGCATTTATCATTATTTGCATTATTATAAGAGAAACAATTACTAACGAGTGACTTAAACGAAGAATCATGATAAACAGATTAATTTCTAATAAAAGTAGTTATTTGCAGCCCTAAATGAAACTCTCTTCTTTTTTTGTGGCGTACCTAATAAATCTTTACCTTGATGACATAATGATACCTTGATGACTCCTGACACAGCAGTTTGCTTTTCAGTCCATAATTCAACTATGTAGGCACAATCTCTTTCACACATGCCACACTTCAATCATATTTCCCCTAAATAGTCTTAAATCAATGCCATCTTGTAGGTCGTAGACATGGTCACCTTTACCTTGTTTCGCGATGCCGATTTGTTCCTCCTGGACTGGCAGAGCCATAGAGGTGCAGTGTGGTCGTAATGTTCCTCTTAAAATCCCTTTGTTTCACCTCTGTTCCTGCGACCTTCCTGTACCACGGGTCTGAAAGACTCACAGCAGCAGGCGCCGTTTGGCTGAGCTGGTGACGCCTCTTTTTCTGCCATTGTCCTCATCTTCTGTAAGCAGGCAGTTCTTTTTTTTGGCTGTCTTCTGGTTATCTCCTTATTATTTCCTCAGTGAGAGATAAGGACTGCCCCTCTCCCCTTCAAAACCCCAACACCCCTTCATTTGGTTCTGCCTTTGTCATTTGCATAAAAGGGTGCAAAGAGACTGCAGAGGTTTACTTGTGTTCCTAAACATCCACAACTAGGCTAAAGGCTCTCTCTCTCTCTTAGGCTGTTTTCTAGAGTTTTATGCCTCAATCAGAATGTCCTTGCTGTATGTGAGGTGATAATACTGAGCCTACAAAGAAGTACATTTTGTCATCCTAGTCCACGCTTGGTTGTTAAAGCTTTATGAGCGATGCATTATTTGGAGGGGAAATCTCTCCCCCTCCTGAAGGATGGGTTTCTTTTGTTCTGATGCTGAAATGCTTACAACATCTCTCATCAGCCTCTAAGCTGAAAGCTTTTACACAGAAACCCTGCAGCGTTTGCTTCCATTGCAGAAAGATGACAGCACAGAAATAGAGGACCAAGAGTTAAAAAAGCCCCAGCTATGCAATTAGTTCATAAAAGCTGATAAAGGAGAGTTAATCCTCGCTCTGTGATGGGCCACAGCATCAGACAGGGCCCTAATGCAATCTGCTGGCTTGTGTTTACAGTGTGCTGCACATTACAGAGCATCACCTGGGCCTTTTGTGTTCCCCCACAATGAAACAAGCATCAGATTGAGTTGAACTGGTTCGCTTCCCCCGTGGAGGAAAAAGGCTTACTTCTACTGTGTTTTGCATTTTTAATTTCTAGGCTAGATGTATTTTTTTTTTCTTCCCAGCATTCACGCTTTTAGTAGAAGGAAGATAGCGATTTTGACAGTAATCTGACATCGACTGCAGTGCAAGGAGAATGGAGTTTTAGGATACATCTAGGCTGTTTAACAATATTTCTTTGCTGTATTGATGGCCTTAAAAGAGTTGCTTTTGTTGACTCATTGATCATTTAAAACTGTAGTGATTATTATTATTATTAATTGTCTTAGCAGGACTTAAAATGATCTTGGATCAGCCACAGGGAAGTCCTGAAGAAGTCATAAAAGCTCTAAACCTTTGCATCATGCCAAATTAGGAGGACATGCACGGGAAGAATGACTGTCAAGTTTATTTTCAGAAGCTTTTGAGAGGGTGTATATGCAGGCTTTAGGACCCAGCACCTCTCTTTGGGCCTAAATTACCCTCCCTCCTGCAGAAGCCAAGGCAGACACTAGCGCAGGGCAATGCTGCCGCTCAGCTGATGCACTCACAGCAGCCTGGCTCTTTTTTCCCCCCTTCTTTGCTCTGCTGTTTTCTTCTGGTTCATTCATCAGGGGGGTGGATCGGCACCATCCGCCCCTCAGAAACTTTCTGACAGACCTAAAAGCTCCCGACGGCTTTCCTCTTTCCGGAGAGAGGAGGGACTGGGAGTTTTGAGAGCTCAGCCTGTGCTGTGTTGATCAGGAGAGGGATGGTGTGATTCTGTAAAGAGACCGAGAAGAAGAGGGAGACGCTCCAGCAGCATCATCGAACCTCCCCCCCCTCCCCCTTGCCGCTCTCCCAGACCCCCTTCTGTCTGGCCAACGCTCTCCCCAATAACACACTCCTTCAATCAAGACAGGCGATTTAGGGGTGGCTCG